CTATTTTACTTATTCAATATAAGACTCTCGTATATTTATATGTTATTTTGGTTATCAATAAAAATATCATTCCGCAAATTTCTACATGATATCAGAGCTTCTGGTTCTTTTCTAATTTGTTATTCTTTTCATAAAAATGATGATGGATAATGAGAGTGAAGATGAAGATGATGATATACCGATTCAGTGGTAATATCATTTCGAGTTTTTTTATTAAGAATAAGAGAGTCATTTTGTTTTTTTTTTGTTTTTTTTCTCTCATAATCCCACATGTTTCTAAAGATTATTCGCATAGCCGCCAATTATCTTATTCTTGCCAAAAAAATTTGTTGTCATTAAACGCTTTCGCATAGTTGTCTTTCAATCTCGAATGAATCAGTTCCCGAGACTTCTTTCTACACCGCGATTGTCGTCTTTTTTTTTTTGTTATCAACGAACGATTCTTTTTTGTGTCATGCCAAAGTTGCAGCGCAGTCGTTTGTTTGATTTTTTTAGTTATGTATTTTATTGACACAAGTTCGCAAGGTGATATAGTTCAAGCGGTGTGCGTTTAATCATCTTTTCAGCAAGTTGGGCGTTTCGTGATCTTCCACGCTCCAACTTGAAGGGGGATGTTGAGATATACCGGATCTTGAAGAATATTACGAGATATATCGTATAATAGAGATCTTATCAAATCCGGAAAATATATATTTAGAAATACTTATTATTATGTCTATTTTACTTATTCAATATAAGACTCTCGTATATTTATATGTTATTTTGGTTATCAATAAAAATATCATTCCGCAAATTTCTACAAATATCTTTTTTTTTATCAATCTCTTCTTTTTTTTTAGTTTTGGATATTCATATATCCAAATCGTTCAAAGAAGAGTAAAAACTCAAAATCAAACGAGGTGCTATGACAAAAAGAAGTTAAACCTAAAAACTCTAAGATCAAGCGAGGTGCTATGACAAAAAGAGTTAAAGGTAGAACTTCAAAGTCAAGCGAAGTGATTTGAAAATGGGTAATACTCTCTAAAAGAACTAAATTTGGTGTTTATGAATTTTTCAAAAGACAATGAAAATATCTATGGGTTTTTATCGCATTATCTTTTCAAGATTGATTTTTGCATTCTTTCAAAATCAATCTTGAGGGGGAATGTTGAAATAGGAAAATAAATATGTGATTGAAGGAAATATTGATTTTAAGATATGATTAGAAATAATAATGGACATAATATTATATCAAATATTGTGTATCGATCTTATTTATTTCTATTTCCTTTTTATTTGTCTCATAATTTTCCTATAAATATGTGAGTCATTTTCATTGTAATTCAACAACAACAAGAAGAGATGTAGCAATAAAAGTAATTCCGTTCGTTTCTATTTGTCTTATTTTATTTCCGCATTTTATTTTTCAGAGGCTTGTGAAAAGGCTCGAAAGTGGATTCTCGACCATGGCGGCGCCACGTATACACCCTTGATGGGAAAGGCTTGGCTTTCGGTGCGGGATACTACTCGTTATATCTATACTGATAACCATTACAAAAACCATCCATGCATTTATTTTATTTATGTTAGTCAGCCTGTCTTCTTGCAGGCTCTTGGAGTGCATGATTGGTCTGGCTGCAAGCCCATGCCACCCGAGTTTTGGTTGCTTCCTTCTTCTTCTCCTATTCATGGAGGTTTGAGACCTTAAACACGAGTTTATAAGGGGAACGATTCTGATGGTCTCTTCTTGTTTATATCCTAGAGATATATGTATGTGTGTGTGTATGTATATACAGGCACTCTTTGGATATATGCCCGAAACACTTTCATGGCTATGTCATATTTGTATGGCAAAAGATTTGTTTCTTCTCCAACACCTTTCCTTCTCCATCTTCGAAATGAGCTTTACCCCAAACCTTACGATAAAATCGATTGGAAGAGCGCGCGGAATCAGTGCGCTAAGGTAAGCAAACAAAAAAAAAGCGTCGGACTTATATATGTTTTTACGTGTGTATATGCGAGTATATATGTACATATACATATTTTACAGAGAAAATACATTGATTTCTTCGTGCGCAAGAAACTGGTGCACACGAAAGATATGCACATGTATCGACATCACATGATTTCGTGATTTTGCTTGGCCTGTAATATTGTAGGAAGATCTCTACAGTCCTCAGACCATGGTACAGAAAATGCTTTGGGGCAGCGTCTATACGTTAACTGAACCTCTCCTAACTCGCTGGCCCTTCAACAAGCTGGTGAGACAAAAGGCTCTCGAAACGACGATGGAGCTCATTCATTACGAGGACGAAATCGGTCGATATCTTTCAGGCGGATGCGGGGTGAAGGTAATTAACAGTCTCTCTTCTCTGTAACCCTAACACACATGATTTAGTTTCTTATATACAGCCCTTGAAAACGCTATTCCGTCTTGGGTATAGTCATTTTCTATGCTGGCTTCTTGGGTTGACGACCCGAAAGGCGACTATTTCAAGAAGCATATCGCAAGAGTTCCCGATTTCATCTGGGTGGCTGAAGATGGTATGAAGATCCAGGTTAGTCTCTGTGAAAGATGTGGTTTATGAAATTGTTTAATATATATATATATATATATATCCAAGTTTAACATGAATTGCCGATTCTGATAACATTTTATATGATTGCATACACTATATATATGGTTATTCTTGTGCGTGCATGCGTGCAGTCTTTCGGTAGCCAGTTGTGGGATACAGCTTTCACGCTTCAAGCACTGCTAGCGACAGATCTGGAAGGCGAGATCAGATCGACGCTCGTCAAGGGATATGATTTCCTAAAGAAATCTCAGGTTTTGATACCAACAGAAGATATATAATAATGTTGAAGTACACAGGCCCTCACTTTCTTTCACGTACTATTTGACAGATAAAAGAAAACCCTCGTCCGAGCAGTTGTGAAAGAGCATTTCGTCACGTTAGGAAAGGAGGATGGACATTTTCGGACCAAGATCACGGATGGCCATGCTCTGATTGCACTGCAGAAAGCTTGGAGGTTGAAAATTTCAAAAAATTTCCCAAGGGAATTTTGGTTTTCTACCCATATATATATGATATATATACTAATTGACATATACACATGCACGTTAGAGCAGTGTTGCTTGGCCTTCTCAGCCATGTCGTCTGAGTTCATTGGTGAGAAAATGGAACCGGAAAGGCTGTATGACGCCGTTAATCACATTCTCTCGTTACAGGTATATATATAACGTTTGCTTTAATCACATCCTCTCGCTTCTGTATATATATCAAGAGATTAAATGAAATCAGAGAACTAAAAAATATATTTCCTTGGATATCAGAGATATTTGTATATACATATGTCTAATGGCATGTTCTGAAATGTTATAGAGTGAAAGCGGAGGCGTAGCAGCTTGGGAACCAGCGCCGGGAAAACTCTGGCTAGAGGTGGTACCAAATCGCACATTTTTCTCATTTCATTGTATCAATAACCAGCTCCAAACTAATGGTGTATTGCCCTAATGCGATCTTTCACGATTGGGATTTCAACAGAGGTTTAATCCATTGGAGTTTGTGGAAGACGTGGTCGTGGAGCACGTGTACGTTCACTAGCTAGCAAGCACTCTTTCCGACAGTTGCTGTCTTGGGGGATATTATCCTAAGACTTGCGTTATTAATGTTATAGGCATGTGGAGTGCTCATGTGCCACCATAGTAGGGTTGGTCCGATTCAAGAAACTGTTTCCAGGGCACAGAAGGGAGGAAATCGAAAGGTTCATCACTAAGGCTATAAAGTACGTTGAGAGAAGGCAATTGCCCGACGGCTCCTGGTAATGTTTTGTCCGTCTCATAATAGATGAAATCCTATCGCGGATACATACGTACATACATATATATACGGACACGTAAAGATGGAGAAATTAATGGTAAATGCATATGCATGCATGCAAGGTACGGAGATTGGGGAGTGTGTTTCTTTTACGCAACGTGGTTTGCTCTAAGAGGTCTGGTTGCGGTCGGGAGGACTTACCGAGACTCGGCGGCTATCCGTAAAGCCGTCCGTTTTCTCCTCCGGACCCAAAACGCAGACGGTGGATGGGGCGAAAGCTATCTCTCTTGCACCGAAAAGGTGACATCTTTAAGGCTTGTCATACGTACGTCTAAATAAAATCAAAATTTTCAACTGTTAACGCTTGTTGGGTTTCATGCAGAAATATACCCCTCTCAAAGGAAACCGGTCCAATCTGGTGCATACGGCCCAATCAATGATGGGTTTGGTTCTTGTCGGCCAGGTTTGGCATATATTGTCCTAAAAACATGTTTCATCAGTTCAAGTTTCTGTGATTGGCTGATGATTATATTTATATTACAGATGGAGAGGGACCCTGCACCTGTTCATCATGCTGCCAAATTGTTGATCAACTCACAGTTGGAAAATGGCGATTTCCCACAACAGGTGAGGATATATTATAATTTCCTTTTGTTTTCTATGCCGAAGAAGAAAACAAGATAGATTGAAAAAAAAAGCGTTAAAGATGTGGGGAAATGCATGCATGTTGCAGGAGATCGAGGGGGCTTTCAAGACGAATGTGATGCTCCACTATCCCAACTATAGAAACATCTTTCCACTGTGGGCTCTCGCTGAATACACCAAGCGTTTCCGCCTTTGATGATCCTGTTTCAACCAAACCTTATATTATGGATACTTACGTATGTCTATATGTGTGTGATTGACTGACTTATATCAAAATGCTTCATAAAGAACAAAAAACTTCTACCTTCAAATCTTGGAGTGACTTAACCGGCGTTCTGGCTGGCTTGACTCGGGAAAGCTCCATGCTTTTTGCTCAGTTTGTTCAACAAGTAAGCCAACGCAACTTTAGCACCTAACGCAGAGTGGCCACGGGACAAGCAGATAGCGCCTCCCAGCAGAATCAATCCGTTTGCTATCAGTTTCTTCGACGGCTTTTTCAACAGTTTAGCTTCACGACTGTATCGTCCGTCACCCTTTCCCAACCCGCTAGTTTTAACGAAAGGTGTGTCATCATCCATTTGAGAATCTAATTCAGATGGAACCTGCAGACATAGCAAGGATTGTCAGAGAACATGGCAATGTGATGGTTTCGTGCCGTGTGGACAAAAGCTCTTCCCATTTGCTTCATGGGTTATGACATGCAACTGAACTGGATCTATGTCTCCATGACTGATTTAGATTTTGGCGGACAAAAGGACCCACATGGTACAAATTTCCAGCATTTGATATCTGAGATATGAACTAACACGAGAATATATGATACGAAGAACAGTCCCAATCATTATCTCACCTTTCGTATTAAGCAGACAGCAGATAGAGCGGGCACTGGGGGTCTATGGCTGGTTGCAATGTATTTAAGAAGTGCATTATCCATCTTGCAGACGTAACTCCATATGCCCTTCGAGAAAGCAAGCTTCGCCATCTCAGAGTTTAGCCCAGCATCTTCCTGGTGAAACATTTTGATCTCGCAAGCTCTTCTCCCGGGAACTGCAGTAAATTTAGGGTTAGCATTACAGTGCAAAAGCAGGATAAAAACCCGGGTTGCTTACGGGAATTCGAGAACTTATTGACCATAATCAATCTCTCAGGAAAAAAACAGATCTCTGATGCATGGAATTTATGCAACATTGCCGAGAATATACGGCTTCTCTTTGTTGAAACTGACATAAAAGATGACAATAAACACTTGCCTTTCCTGATTCGCCAACCAGATCTAAAATAACCTACACGTATATACTTCCTCTGATGTGGCGCCATGTTGTGATCACATTCCTGACGATAATCGAAAAAGCAATGTCAAGCTCTGGTGTGAACTTAAGAAGCAGCATCCTAACCCGATAATCAGCTTGAAACAAACCGAGAAGCAACGTCAAGTTACTTCTGTTTTGTGGATATCAAATTGCAGCAACATGATTGTATACAAAGTATATTCCATATCCTAACCCGATAACCAGCTTGAAAACAGACTGAGAAGTTTTAGTTCATCTTACTTTGATAAAACAGTAGAACGAGTTATCATTCCCCTCCCACAGTCTCCAAGCTAATACGTACTCTGTCGGTGTCAGAAAGGGAAACTTTTTTATCGTGCAGCCAATCTCAATTCCGCTAGTAATGTCGACCTCCAACTGTTCATGCCCAACCACAGTCTTATCCCATTGTTTCCTGTAATCATTATCCATGTAAAAGTCCCTCAAAACCTCTGGAGAACAATCCTCAAACACAGTAACACTTAGGTACTTCGGTGGACCGCCCTCCTGCAAGAACCACCAAACCCCACAAACTCAATCCATCGACGAGAACATCTAGAAATTGATAAGAGTATTTACGGATGGAACGGATTGAAAATTACCCTCGGCTTGCAGATTTTAGCATTATATGACACACAATCATTGCTTTTATGAATGACGTTTTCCCATGTCTCTCCAAGCTCATTTTTTCCCTCCAAGTTTCTAATTAGGCCTTTCAAATCTTCATCAGACACAAGCCCAGAGATTCTGCAAGCCACATGGAGGAGTCAGTTCATTAAAAGGCGAGGAGAATTTGATGTAGGCATCACTGTGATTATACAGATATGCAAACATTGAATCTAGAATGAAAGAAGGATACATCCAATAGCCACAGGAATTCTGGGAGAGGAGAACTGCTAATCACAAACTGAACAATTGGATTCGCCACAACATAATACGGATTCAAAGAAGCCATAGAGTAGTCTAAAGATCGTTTTTTTTTTCTTCATACGCAGAAACCATCATTGAACAAGAATGAGAATTTTGAATCTGAAAGCGACCCAGCTGAACAAAACCATTACTGAATCATCAGACACTTGCAGCGGCAAACAAATTCGACAACAACAAAGGCAACCTACGTAATCACTATAGACAGAGAACAGAAATGCGGGAAAAAGGGTCCGATCAATTCAAAACCTTTACCCTGATTGGGGATTCACGGGACGAGAAACTGAAGCTCCAGAAGGGCCGGCAGAGGAGAAAGAAGAAGAAAAAGAAGCGAAATTGAAGAGCGGGAATTTTGGGGAGAGGAAAAAGCGCCAGAGAAGGATGAACAGAAGGGCAATCAGAACGGTTCCGAAATAACAGCCGCCGCCATCGGAAAGAGCTCGCCGGAATAATTCATCGGAGGAGGAGAAATAGAGAGCCGGGCTCCGAACGATATCTGCACTGCTCATGGAATCCATAATCCCTTCCCTCGCAAATCTTTCGGTTCCTGAAGAAAATGCTCCCACAGATTGCAATCGTGAATATATACGTATATACGTGTGCGTACACGTCTGGGCGCGGCTCCTTCCAGTTGCCGAGCGACAGAGGCAACGAACACTAGAGGAGGGTTACAAAGGCATTTGAAATTGTTTTTGTGAATTTTCGTAAGCCCTTTTTATTTTATTTTTTGAAAAAAAAACATTAGGCTATTTCATTATACCACTTTATTATTTATTTTAATATTCAAATTATCATCAAGCTGAATCTTGGTATCTTTTTAAAATTTCTATTTATTTTCCTACCACCAACTTATTCTTGTGTTTTTTAGCGATCTGATTATCTTCTCTCAAAAAAACTTTTTTTTTTGCGTGGTCATGAATCATGATACTTGAGACCAACAAAAACCAATCAATAAATAAAATCTCGAATTTTGTTTTTTTATAACAATCACTCGTTTACTTCAAGAAAAATATTATAAAACAAAGTCCAGAAATGTTGGCATCATCCAATATAAATGGATAAGGCACTCCAAAATTCCTGTGTATTTGAGACATTATGTGGAGAAAACCGAACAGGGATGAAGAACACGAATCCAGCCTTGTAATGAATAAGACAAGAACAGTACTCTTACTTTTATCCCAAGTAAAGGAAAAACAAAAGAAGAAGAAAAAATAAAGAGATCTGAATCTGATCAAGCAGAACGCTTCACTCTTGGTGTATTTTGCTATTATTAAACACGAGCAAGATATTTGTCTTTTTGATACATCTTCTATCAATCCAGAAGAGAGAGAGAGGAGAGAGAAAAACAGACAGACCCAGAAAGAGGAAGAGGGAAATGAATCAAATTTGCTAATGCCCAGAAAGCAGCAAGGGCAAAAGGTGCATACTTTACAAGAACCCAGAACGATTAGAACTTAGATCCCATTCAGACAACAAGGGAATTATGGATGGATATGGAAGTCTTGCTAGTTCGACTCACCAGATGGGACAGCTGCTGTCGTTACTGCCTCTGGCGATGAACTGGCTCTGCCTGCTTCCTTCTCGGCCTCCTCTCCCTCGTCCACACGAACAACCTGTGCAAAACTTTTGGACATTGTCTTGATGAAGTCCACCGCCAATGCACCAGTGGTGGGTTTATGGTCGTTTTCTCCGGCTATTCCTGCAGAAGTCAAGCTTTCTTGTTGTCGTCTAGCCTTCCGTTCCTGTATCATTTTCTCCCGTTCTTCATAAAAGTCGAAATCATCCAATATGGATGTGTCAGCCTCATAGCTATTGAAAATCTTCAGCATCTCGATGCCCTGCTCCAGCTTCACCTGTGATATGGTGTTTATGAATGTGTTATAGGTTAAGCGAGACAGCGGGTGTATACGTACATCTGAGGGAGAAAATGCTACTTTTTACCTCTTGGGTATCTCTACTATTGGTCACGGGCTTATTGTCGTTGTTTTCCAAAATTATGTGACGGAACAGGCTATTCGGAACATCTTTGATGATGTGCCACTTCACAGGGAACTGACCGCTCCATTTATCTTGTTGCCAGTAATCCACACTCTTCTCAAAGTCCACAGGTCCAATCATCTCAGCCACCCCACAGAACTGAGCACTCGCATTTACCTGCAGTTACAAACTCGTAAGCATCTTATGGAGAGAAGGCATGAAAACATAAAAAAAGGGTACCCGAAAAACAGTGGCTTCACTTTCTCTTTCTGTTCAATCACAGATTAGGCTCTTACAGAAAACAGAAGAAATACTGGGCATGGTTCTTGCTTTTCCTTAGCTTCACGATGTGCAGCATCAAGCTTTTTGTTACCATTAGGGGTGCTAGCCCAGACATTGTATTTGATACTCTTGTGAACATTGTCCTCGCTGTAAGATTTGATGATGAAGAACTTAGCGTCGTTATAATCCATGACAAAGTCAGTATTGTTGTAGGTTTCATCCTGCTGCTTGGCACTGGCTTTGTTATTCTTCTTGGCGTCAGCAGAAGAATCAAGCTCCTCCATTATCTGAGCCTTGGGCTTAGAGGCCCTAGGTCCTCGGTTTTGCTCATTGAGGATGTCCAAAGAAACATTACAGCCACCACAAAAGGTAGAACCAGTGACCCTTCCACGACCTCGAGTGTTATCAACCCCAACCCAACCTTGGTTGCCCATACCCACATTAGAAACAAGTGTACTTCCATAGTTAGACCCCTGGCCATGACCACCACGATGGATATAACCTCTGTTGTAAGAGTTTGATCCAGATTCAAACCCGTAAAACGATCTCTGCCGCTGTGATCCCTGTCAATTAAAAGAAACCAGATTGTATAAGATACACCATACTGAAGTGCAAACCCAATAAACCAACAGTCCCCTCCACATCATTTGAGTTATAAGATGTAGTTCACAATGCAAGGCAAGAAACTAACAACACAAAGACATACTAAAGAACTGAACAAACCATGTGGATGTTCTGCCCAAATGATCCGAATGGGCCAACTGGCTGAGGAGATACTGCTGGCGAGATAGGAGCCACAGGTCTATGCATATCAGAGGGTTTGGACCAATCTGACCATATCCCACCATCAAACCCTTGCTGCCACTCGGGGAAACCAAGGCTTCCCTGGTTTCCATGAAACCCGCTCCCATTAAATGGTCCAATTGGATGAGGATGGTAGGTTGGCCGAGTTCCCACAAGCATGTTATCACCTTGTTGGTCAACACCCACAATGCCGGTGAGCTCTGGCTGTGAAACCGGGGTTGGAGAAGTAATATATTGCATGCTAGGAGGAACCACCTGCTGGTAGTATGGTGAATGTCCTGAGTATGGGAACTGCTGTGCAGAATACAACTGCCCGTCTCCAGCTACAGAAGGTAAGGGCGACGCAGCAGGGGAATATGGTCCATACGGAATTTGAGGATTGTATCCATATCCGGCATGGAATACGATAGAAGGATTCTCATTGAAGCCACCCTGGCCGATCCAACCGGAGAAAGAAAATGAATAATTGGAGAAAAGATGAGGAAGCCATCTATGAAAAAGTTCTAAGAAATGATCAGAAATGGTATGGTGTACTCACGGGAGATGTGATATCCAATCCTTCAGCAGCGATGTAAGGAGAGTATTCGTCCCATTCACCTCTGGCGTTTTCATAACCTGGCTCTGGTGTCAGAAATGAAACGGTTTCAAAATCAGCACTACAAACCCATAATCAAGAACTAGAGAACTACTTTACAATCACTCCGAGGCTCTAAAGTATTTCTTTTTGGTTGCCCTAGCATCTAGAGCATAGAACACTATCTAAACCATATAAGCAGCAAAACAATCGATGCATAATTGGTGACAGTACAAAACACTCACTGAAATGTGATCCAATTTCTAGGCATATGAATAAAAAACCACGATACTAAAAGCTTGTGCTTAAGGAGAAATGGAAGTTGGATAAGTGTCGAGTAAAAAAATCACCTGTGAAACCATAAGGTCCAGGTAGTTGTGCAGGTTTGACAGGATGAACTACAGTTGCAGTGTCCTGAGAGGACTTATAAGAGGCTGATGTCTCGTTTTTCACCGGAACAGGCTGTCATCAAGATTCCGGATGAAGCTTTTGTCTCTAAAATCTTCATTTCAACAGAAAGAAAATCTGAACAACAGATCAATTACCTGATCCTTCATGATTTCCAGACTAGCAGGTTGCTCTTCTGCATTCACGATCAACAAACTCAATATAAGTCAGCTGAATCTTTTTCACGAATAAGGTAGACACAGATCGGTAGAGCTATAACTACATCAGGTAAGGAACCCATGATATCTAACAAAGCAGATCCTACGGTTTCAGCAAACAAACGCCAAACCAATGTCAGTTCAAGATAAGTCAGGGTTCCTCGAACAAAAACCCAAAATCTGCAGAATTTTGAGAGGATATTGGCCATCCTTCAATTTTCCAGCTGAAACTTGAATAAAACCGGAACTAATTCTCTTGGATAACAAATCTTAGCCAATACAGAAGATCCCAGATTTTGGGCAAAGAAGATCGAATTCTCTGAACCTTATCATACTTCTAAGGTAAGCATGATCTAAATCTAATGTCAAAGAATTCACATGGTCGATAAAAAGGACCCGAAGTTCGGAATACTTACAAACCCTAACAAGACAGAAACAAAAATCGGCAGGAAAAATCTCGACTTCACAGGATTCGAGGCCGAACCATGAAAAATTTTGAGAACCCATCAACCGCGAAAACAAAGATCGGGGTAAAGGGATCAAATTTACAACGGAATCTGGAAGAAAAACAAAATCTAGGCCGTAAGGAAAATGGGTCAGTGAGGTTACCGGAAGTACGATCAGTGGCGTGTGATTGGGTCGCTGCCATGAATCTGATCGAAAGGCCGAGAATAAGGATCTGTTTGAAATAACTGGAAAAGAAGAATCTTTATATGATACGTAGGAAAGGACAAAGGATCTTCCCATATATGTATGTATACATGTATACGTACACAGAGGCCTATACGTAGATACAATAATTCTCAAAAAAAAATTGAAAGAACCAATGACAACTTTCCCAAAGTGAAAGCTCACCTTTTCTTCATTTATCTTTAATGTCAGAACCAAGACTCGGAGCCAAGTGAAAATACAAAACAAATATGAATATTATCATTCATTATGATGGGTTGAATTTCACTGTATGCTTTCACAAGTCTTGAATCCAACAACGACATTACTTGATGGATATATACAGAATCGCAAAAAACTATCCTTAATCTCTTTGTGACATATTGTACATGTAACACATGTATCGCAGCCCAATCGGCGTTTTTATTTCAGCTGTGATCTAACACTATAACCCTCGACTGTCCAAAAACTATACGGACGACGAATGGGTTTGGTCGGAAGAGGAGGAGGAGACGGAGAGGCTGTCCGGCAAGTTGCGGCCACTGGTCTCCAAGGGGAAGAAACAGACGCAGATGCAGGAGACGAGAATCAAGGCCACGAACATGAGGATGGAAGCCGTTTGATGGCATCCTTGAACCAATCCTACGGCCACCAGTGGGCACACCATTCCTCCTATCCTCCCTACAGAGCTCCCCATTCCCAATCCTATCGATCTCACCGACGTCGGGTATATCTGCACAAAAGTACGGATTCCCGTTAGAAAATTCTTCGTTTTTTCTGTTGAGGAAGAACTATATCCATACCCCATGCTTCGGGTTGGAACTTTGGTGAGTTGAAAGCTTTACCCATTAGAAAATTCTCCGTTTTTTCTAGTTTTAAGACTCTTTACACATGATACGAGAGCAGTAGAGGAGCAATTGGGCAAGCAGAGTACCTCGGGAGCGTATATGTAGACGATGGTGAATGAGGCCATGATGCAGACTCGCGCACCAAAGAGAAGGGCGGTGGTTAAGCCTGAAGGCTGATGAGATACGAGCGGAAGAAGGAAGAAGCAACACATAAAGAGCGTTGATGACATCGAAAGCCTTCTCCCCAGTTTATCCACCATGGCAGCCGCAACCAGAAGCCCTGGAAACTCTGGCCACAGACAAACGAACAAAAAAAGAGGAACAGAGATCAGCATTTCGAATGATTCGCATGGAGTTTTTTCTCCCAGTGTATCAGGTCCTATCACAATGCTTTTGCTCAGCCATAGAAAAGAAAAGAAAAAAAATATCATGAGTCTGGTGTAACCTCAAATACCTGCAAAACTGGCAATAAAAACGCCCTTGTAGTCAACATCTACCGAATTTGTCAAGACCTGTTCGAGTGGAGAACACCTGTTTTGGCCATTGTTCAGCTCGGTGGTGAGCAGCACAATGCCGTAGTATGCAAATGAGTTACCAAAGAATACAACCCATATAAGCAAAGTCGTCTTGATCAGCTTTGGAGATAGAAGAGTTAAGACAGAACCAACTCTCTTGGAGCTAGTCTCATCTCCATTTTCTGCATCTGTGAGGAGAGGAGTGCTTTCGGTCGGAATGCTCTTCTTCTCTTTCCACCCAGTCTCGTGCTCTCCAACGAGAACACCGGGCGGTAGCTCAGCTCCATTTATTCTGGCTATCTTCTCCAGAATGGCAAGAGCTTCACTTTTCCGGCCTCGTAGGCATAAATACCGAGGTGACTCGGGCGTCAAGCTATAGAATAGAAGAAGCAAAGACGAAGGAACTGAAGAGAGTGCAAGTAACCACCTCCAACCCAAATTTGGCATGACAAGCTGCAAAAGATGAATCATGAAGACGTGAAAAGCTTTCAAACAAATGATTCATTAGTGTGAATTCTGATAAGTTCATTATGTTACAGAGCTTGAGTTCTGAAACATGAGATAAACAACGTACGTACCCAAGCAAGTGATGCCTCAAATACGGTTCCGACGGTCCAAAAAGCTGAGAAAACAGCCATCCAAGTCCCTCGGTTCGGTGCAGGGATGAACTCGAGAAACCAGGATGCAAGGACAGGGCCTCCACCCAAACCAAGACCAACAAAAAATCGAAGAATTAACAGACAAATATAGTTCGGGGCCAATGCGCTCAAGAAACCAGCTATAAAAGTCACCACTGCTGTCATGAGAAACCCCTTCCTGAAGAAGACAAACGTAAACAGTCAAGTGGATGAAGCGCCATAAACAGAACAAATCTACAATTTTGCGGGGGAAAGACTGTTGATAACAAGCAGAAACATTCACGAGGAATCAAGTATCAACGACTGAAAGAACAAAGTGCCATAAACCGAACAATCTGTACACATACAAACAATCCCAAAGGAATCATATGAACAAAGATCCATAAGCTGACCGATATCTACATGGAGCAAACCCGTTTTGAACTTCAGAGAGAATATACAAGAGGCATAAAGGAGAGAGATGAACAAGGGATGAATCATAGACGGAACAGTCAAAAACATTCACAGCACCTCAAGGAATCTAATGGACCAAAGAGTAACAAACAAAACAATCTATGAGTGAAATCATCCAAGTAAGGACGACTTTTCAACTTCAGAGATCATGGCTAACATTGAATTACCTCCGACCACACTTGTCTGAAACTATGCCCCACGAGTAAGCTCCGATCAGCATGCCAGCGAAGACGACGCTGGTTAAGAAGCTATCCTCGTGCGGAGAGAGATTCCAGAGCGACTGAACAGCTGGTCCGACGAACGAGAGAAGCATCATCTCCATGGCCTCCGAAAGCCAACCCATTCCTGCATAAGCGAGCACCAGCAATTGGAATTTCCCAAACCCCATCGCCACCAGGGCTTCGTCCACCGTGAAACTAGGGCTTTCAGGACCCATTTCAATGTCTGGAATCAAAACCCATTAGCATCTTCAGATCTCAATGCTCGATCAAAATTCAGCTACGTACATGTAAACTAAATTCATCCAAACGAGGGTTTTGACGATGAACAGACAAAGAACACCATTCCCGTTTACCATTAGGGATTTACAACCCAAATTCTGGGTATCGATGAAGAAGTTGCAAAATTGAGGATGAACCCAGTTCATGGTTAGCGATAACGAATACTGGCAAGCGGGCATTAACGGCTGAAAACAACGAACCTGGAAGAATGATCTGAATGAACGGAAATGCAACTTATCTCCTCCCTCGTCGTTTTAGATCAAAATTAGCAATCGTCAGAGGTTACAAAGCGTCAAAACGGATTAGGGTATTAATCAAAAATCCATTCTGTGGCATTTTGTCCACGTGCACGAAGCAAACGCACCTCATTGGTCACATCAAACGTGGTGGAAAATATGCTCACGACAACCATGTGATATTTATTATTTTTCTTTCTTTTATCTTGGAAAAATAAAAATTGATATTTTCCTCCTCTTTGTCGTCACCTTGGTTGGTGTGCGCTTAACTGGGCTTTTTTGTTGGGCCTTTAACCTTAGGCCCAAATATATATAACAATGCCGATGCCCTTTCCATTCCACTAAACAAAATATTTTACATGATTGTTTTAGATAAATTTACTAAACAAGATTTCATCACATTGCGCAATTTTTTCTATAACTAATTTCCGAAATAAATTATAAAATATAATATCAACCAATCTATAGGCTTGTTTTGAAATTTGAAATTTGAAATTTTGTTATATCTATAAATAAATACGAACTGCCGTTGTTAGCAATTTGATTCGTAAAAGAGCTGCCGTTTAACTTCCTTATAAACGGGACGAATTTCTTCAGCCTAAACAGAAAACGCGACCAAGTTCTCATATAATCCTCTCAGAGCCACTAGTCCGGCGATCGCCAGAGCTTAGCGCTTGAGGAATGAGCAAAGCCACGGCCGCGATGAAGGTCGCCGTGATCGGTAGCGGAAGTGGGTTTCTCGATTTCGTTGATGATTTTATTATTACGACATAAATATGGAAAATCCTTATTAAATTCTCTATCTTTTTGCCCCAAAAAATATAATGGAGCAGTTTCTGGTGCGGTGTGTGCTTCGACTCTCGCCCGGAATGGCGTCTCCGTCACGCTCTTCGAGTCTGCTCGTGGACCCGGTGGACGCATGTCTCAGAGAAGGTTTCTCATTGTACCTTCGACTTTTGTTTGTTGGTCGAAATGTTCTGTTCTGTTGAGTGTGGCGAAGTTATTCATCTACTCCATCTTATGGATTTGATGAAGACTCTCTCTCTCTCTCCTCTCTTCCTTTTGAAGTTTGTGAATTTGATGAAAAGGGTGTGTCTGAAAATGAGTTTTCCTTCTAAATTTTCTCTCTTTTGTTTAATTTTCAAGCAGAGAAATTAGCGAAGATGGGAAGGATTTGCTGTTCGACCATGGGGCTCCGTTTTTCACTGTGAGCAGCAACTCAGATGCACTGACTCTGGTTCATGATTGGGAATCGAGAGGCGTTGTTTCTGAATGGACGCCAACTTTTGGGAGTTTCGATTGTACCTCCAACAAGTTCCTTGGCCCCCAACAGGTTGTCGTCAGCTTTTTCTTCGGATACATATCGAAAAAATACTTCCTTTAGTCATCAATCATTTAAAGATTTACAGCAGCTATCCGTGCTTGTAGAAATTTATGATCAGTACTGATGATCCACGATTAGCCAAGCGTGTGCATTATTCCCACTGATATTCTCTAACCAGCAATGTGTTCAGGAAGGATCTGAGAAGAAGTATGTGGGTGTGCCCGGCATGAACTCTATATGCAGGACCTTGTGCCATGATCCAGGTACTTGGCATTGTATCCAGCACGTTATAACCAATGGCTCAAAGTCGGGAGCTCTAGATTCCAGTCTCTGCATTACTTGACATCGTCTTTTTGTTGTATTTTTCGTAGGTGTTGAAAGTAAGTTTGGTACCGGTATTGCAAAGCTTGAATGGATGGAGGAAGAAACATCATGGTCGTTGGAAGATTCAAATGGAGAAAATCTGGGTTCTTTCTGTGGAGTAGTTGCATCAGATAAAAGCATTGCTTCTCCAAGGTTTACTGACCTAACGGGACGACCACCACCTCTGAGTAAGAGCGGATTGAACTCGAACTTCTACAGTTGCCATCAATTTTTTCCTTTCATGTTAATCTTAATCACTCTATCGATTTGCCTACAACAGATTTAAATTTGATTCCGGAACTAGCAAATAGGTTGCAAGATATTCCTGTTCGTCCTTGTTTCGCTCTCATGCTAGCTTTCAAGGAGCCACTGTCTTTGGTAAGATATATGCTTGCTTGTCTAATATGCGGTCAGAAAACTGCCAATACATTCGTACCCAGGTTTGCGTCTTATTTGGCGGATTAGGCTGATTGATAGTATGATAGGTTCAACTCTTCTACCAGAATACTGGTAAAGTTAATGCTCAAGCAAGATTTTTGCTGTCTTTCATCGTAGCTGATTTATTGCCTTTGTGTATCCTACAATTGTGATTCAGATACCGACAAGTTGCATATCATTCAAGAATTCTGAGATCTTGAGTTGGGCTCATTGTGACAGCAGCAAGCCAAGCCGGTCAACTGAAAGGTATTTCAATACATAGCAAAAAAGTAAAAATACGTCGTTTTAACTGGTTGAAATCATATGCATTCATAAGTTGCAAGTGTAACACGTCACAGTTATTATTGGTTTGTGACTGATTTTACAGTGAGAGGTGGATACTACATTCAACTCCAGAGTATGCCAATAGGGTTGTTGAGCTAACTGGCCGCCGAAAGCCCTCGAATGAAACATTGAACAAAGTGTCTGAAAGAATGTTCCAGGAATTTCAAAGCTCGGGTCTCGTCAGCTCTCAACCCTTTTTCATGAAAGCCCACAGATGGTACACCGTCCTCACTTCAGTTTTACATTACAAAATTGCCAAGGAACAACAGCTCAGCCTATGAGTTAATCTATCGAATGAAATCGAGTGATCAAAACTCAAACCAGTCTTTTGTTTACTTTCAAGATCACTTCTTTTTATCCTAACAGTGTATTATCTTTTTTCCTGTTATCTCGAGGGGGAGTGCATTCCCTGTTATAAGCATAGCCATGGAGGAGAGATGCCTCTGGGACAGGAAGAGGAGACTCGCAATCTGTGGAGATTTTTGCATCAGTCCGAACGTCGAAGGTGCTATACTCAGTGGCTTAGCTGCAGCCTCCAAACTTTCAGAGATATCTAGCTGCTTATAACAATTCTATTCACGGGTAAATCATAAACAAAAAGAATGTGCAGAGACATGGCCGTACAATTGCTTCCCCTGCCCTATTCACAGATGATATTGCATGTAATCTTGTACTGTTTGATCTGCTTCAAAAGGCCTCCAAATCACATTCAGTTTGAAAGAAAGGTATATATTTACATATGGATATGTTCTCCAGAGTCTATACATATATGTTTACATGAATCTGCATCATACAATAGTGTGATGAACGTTTGCACAAACCAGACAACCGTGAACATGAATGTAATAACCCTGTCACAAGCCTCGACTTCAGTAGTTCCAAGCACTGGTCGAAATCCCAACTTCGGTCAAGAGACTCTGAGAGCTTCCTTCTCCGAAACTCTCAGATTCTTTGGCACCGAGATATCCATCGATCTTAGTGAGCTGGTTGAGCAGAGCTCTCAGAACCATCTGATCAGAGCAGAACGCGTCCAACCCAGCGGCCATGGTCGGAGCTTGATCCGTGAACAAAGGGAAAGGGTTCTTGGAGGGTGTCTTGGGTTCAGAAACCAGACTGGTCAGATCTGGGAGAGATGGATCGGTTTGGGTCTGTGACGAAATGGAGAAGCAGGGCACTTGCTGATTGATGATATGAGAAGAGGGTTCTTGGTGATCAGGTTGGCCAAGGCTAATGCAAGAATCCATCAGAGGAGGAAGAGATGCAGAGGCTGTCTCGTTAGAACAGCTTCCCATGTTGTCCTTGTTAGCTCCTTCTCTGTTCTTGTAGAACACTCTACACAAGACCCAGTCTTCCTGTTTTGCCCAGCAAAACCATACATTATCAAAAGCTTGCACATTTTTTGAATCAAAGAATGAAAACTCATAAATCTTTGGTTTTGGTTATGCGTTCAAGATGTCTTAGGTCTGCATCTACAGAGTCAACATCATCTTAGGTCAGTCAACGAGAAAATCTTTGTAACGATGAGAATTAAACAAAAAGTCAAGACCTTTGTTACGTATCACCTAAAAAAAGATTGCAACAATCCCGCCTTGATTTACGCTTTGGTTTAAGCAATCAAAGATTAGCGATAACATTTTATATGCTTTTTGTTTATGATATTATATTAAATTTCCCATCTTTTTGCAACCAGGGTTGACATAATTAGCATTCGAATAGTTAGTTAGTCAACTCTAAGATTATAACATTTCTGTATCGATCCGAATTTAATATCTCATCGTATATCGTGCAAGATTCATATACCAAAATCGAACAAATTGAAAAAAAAAACAATACCTTTGGAGAGTCGGGAGAATCCTTGGGAGGAACAAAGGGACCTTCAAGCCGAAACTCGTGCATGACCCAATCGGTTTTACGTCCTTTAGGAGCCCTGCCTTTGTAAAACACCAGCGTCTTCCTCATCCCCACGAGCGCATCTCTCCTTTTCACCGCCCTGTCTTTTCCGGTCGCCTTCCAGTAGCCGGTCGCCGTCGCACGGTTCGTCCTTAGCCCCGTCGTGTATTTTCTGTCCCTTTGGCTGTAGAAATACCACTCTCTCCCTCCCACACATGCCCTTTCTACGGTTTTTTACAAGTAATCTGTGAGATTCACCTTCAATCATACGATGTAAAACCTAGCATAGTAACGTGTGTATTCCCATGTTACGACGCATGCATGCATGCAGCATCTTTGACTGGTGAAATAATTAGGGTTTACCCGGTAATAATTAGAGTTTAAAGGCAGTGCAGTAACTTCTGGTTCCAAATGTTACGCTGCATGCACGATCGTTGTCTAACAAAATAATCAAGAGTTTAATTAACCAGTAATTAATAATACATTAGGAAACGCATTTATATCACCCTACATGAGTAGGTACAACCAAACCGGTTTTGGTATTAGATATAATAGGTATTTCCGGCAAGTAAATGATATGATTTATCACAAATAAAATATAAATATTCCCTCGTTCGAAAAAGTCGCGAGATGACTCCAATGCCGGAATTTATGGATTTTCTTTGGAATCAAATACTTTATGTTTGTCCGTCATGAAAGATGCACGTCATTGTCTAATTTTTCAACCCGGTACCCAATAGAAGGCCACCACGTGTCCGTGATCAAGATAATGTAATTTTTAAAATTTTAAAATGTGTGACTAGGGATCAATTATTATGCAGTTGGAGGGTCAATGTCTAAATGGAAATATAAATAAATGGACCAACTAATCCATATAACTAAAAACAAGGCGAAGAATATTTTTTCCTTCACTTGCAAGTGTCGCAACGTGTGCGGACTTCAAATCGCGTTGGAAAAAACAAAACTTCAACAAATAAACCATCGTATACATGTCGTTTGTTAATATCGTATATAACTTAAATATATTATTCGTCTTTAGGATATTGATATTAATTAACGATTTTTATTTTCCATCAGATATCGTATCGACCATATGGTTGTGTATTTATTTTAATATTATAAAGGAATATCGTAGAAACTATCAAAGGTTATTTAAGGATCGAAGGAATATAGGATCAATCATTTCACATTATTATCTGCTTAATTCAATTAAACAAAAATTCAATTAACAAGCAGCATTTAAATCTGAGTAATTACTACTCTTTCATCGAGGGGCGAAATTAATGATTGTTGGTTTTGGTCAAGCTCTAAAATTAGGGTCGATCTATTTCTTCTTCTTCTTCTTCTTACGCTTACCATGTAGACAACAATAATAACAATAAGTTTGGTATAAATACCGAAATTTGCTTCTAAATGGTCGTTTTAATTCATATATGTATATATATATATATATATAACAAATGGATATGAGTTTTCTTTGATTTTTCGTCCTAAGCTCTTAGTTTATATTGTCTTCGGAAACTTTGGGTCACGGACAACTTCAAGAGTGTCAACTTTGGGTAATCCGACCCGAACCCACCCAAAAAACATCAGATTTTATATCTAAAACTATAAGCTCGAACAAATTTGGGCTTTTCGTCCGGATTTCATACCGACCTGAAAATCCGATTTATTTAAAAAAAAATCTAGGATTAAATGGATCGGTCCAAGCCTGAACTCAGATTTAGTTTTATAAGCTTGAAAAATTTTGGATGACCCGAAGCCGAAATCCTCAAGTCAGGCTCGCGACGGGTCGGGCCGGTTGATACCCCTATATATAAATATACAACTATGCAATGTCGTTTTATGTGTTTGGTAAAATCAGCCTTAATTAGGGGGGAATAGTAGAAAGAGTGGTAAAGATTTTCAGAATACAAAAATATATAATGGGGCAAAGTTGAAATGAAAACAGTAAGGTTTAGTTTAATGGGGTGTTATCATCCGGTAGCTTGGTGGTTATACCAAAACATGGCTCCATTATTCCTTTATGTATATCAATGTCACGATTAACTAACGGTAACACTTTTTTCAATCTTAATGATCGATAATGAAATATATGATGAGAAACCGTAAATTATGTACCACACGATCAACCTAATTACTATAACTAATGATGTTAATTAACCATGCATATAAAAATCAAGATAATTATATAGATTAATTTTGAAACAGAGAATACATGTCCTCTAAAGTTTTTTTTGGTAACCGGGAGGTATCATGGTCGAAACCCAAACTAATCCCGAGGACCGAGAGTAAGTCACGTGATTGAAATCACGTTTCCTCCCCAATTTGACGCTCAAATTCGGGACAGGACAGACGTTTTGTACCCCTATTTCACCGGTTGAGCTACTAAAGTTGGGTTATGTTGTATAAAGTTACTTATCACGTTAGTCCATTACCCTTTTGGATTCGATATCGAGAAATGACCAGCGGTTTTTGCATGACCTACGTATGTATATAAATGCGTAATAAACGTATGTTAATTAATATCGTGCTTATTGAAAAGGAATGATAAAGTGCATCATGTAGAGAGAGAGAGAGGGAGAGCGTACGAGGGAGATCCCAGGGCTCGGACTTGTTGAGGTCGACGTCGAGCAGGAGGACAGGCTGGTGGCGTTGGCTGCGGAGAAGTCGCTTCATCAAGTAGTCGCAGACAAGCTCATCGTCTCTTGGGTGAAACCTGAAACCCGGTGGCAGCTTTCCCTCCACCACTCTTATTATCTCCCCCTTCCTCTCATCCTTCTCCATCACTTTATATATATATATATATATGAATTCTTGTATGCTAATGGATAAATCGGACGGAATACGAGGATTAAGAGGACAAGAAATGGATGAGAGAGAGAGATCAGAGCTGTAGTGATTTGGGAATCCGAGAAGGAAGATATAAGTAACGGAGAGGAAGCCACAAAGTCAACTTCTTGGTATTGTTCTTCATTTTTTTTTTATCAAGAGAAATAAACATTGTTATACCCTCAAAATCATATACAAAAAAAAAAAAAAAAAAAAACTGGGTTTCGGTAAATTTGTGTTCACACTATTGTATGTTTTAGTTTCCACGGTGGACAGTAAACGACTCTCTTGGGTCCAAAAAACGAAGATTTAAATAAAAGAAAAAAAAAAAGGAAATCTGATATTGAGGTTAATTGACTGTTCTCAATACAAAATTTCACTTATTATAATTCTTACGTAAACAACTAAATACTTATCGCAAATCTTGAAAATATTTTTTTTTTGATAATCCGGAAGTTCACCGGATCTTTGGTCCGACTACATCTCCCAGAGGATTGGGAAAATCCATGTGAATGCCCCTCTCCACGCTTGGATTTGAACCCAGGGTGAGAGAGCATGCTTTGCATATTCTCTCACCACTATGCCACATAAGCTTGGGTCTTGAAAATAGAGTTAGCGTTACCAAATAAACAATAGGTGTGTGTGATGGTAAAAAAACAGAACAAAACCATAAAATTTTAAACAAATGGATCTAAAAATAATAGTTCTCACAATGATCGTTTATATATTTGTCGCTCTGTACCCGATATCCTGCGGCATAGATTACATGTTTTGATGGCTGCCATGAAACAGGAGACAGTGGTCAGTATATATATACCCATATATAGAGGTTCCGTATCCATATATATGACTAATATTTTATACGCCATATAGGCATAGAAAAATTACTAATAGATGATACAAGTCATTTTTAATTAATAAATTGTTTCATCACTACCTCGAAATCTCTGTTTCTTTATTCGCCAAATAATATGATTGGTTCATACGTATGTGCGCAAGTGAATAAGAATCACTATTCTTTTCTAGTTTGGATTTTTTTTATTTTTTTTTTTGACGTAAAATTAAACCAAAGAAAATCAATTGGATGAAAATCCATGGTCACAGCTGGATATATGCAGGGGCTGCGTGGAAGGATGACGTGTATTTTTTTAAATTTATTTAGCACTGTCCAATAGAAAAAAATAGCCAAGCATAAATTAATATCAAGAAGCAACTGTTGTATGGAAATGTTTAAAAAAATAACCTGTTGTATAGAAAATTAAATCGTGAGTTTGATATATTTTATAGACAATGTCGGTCCATGTCAAATTTTGAAGATTCATTTCACGCATGCTCCTTTGGTTTTGTCTTTTGTTCCGTTCCAAAATGTGATGGGTGAAAGTGGAAGTATGGCCACAACATTAACTTAATGTGTCATGGGCACAAGACAAGAGAAGCCTTATCTGATTTGACTTGGTCAAACTTAGATCCTCCCAATCTCCATGAGAATGTCTTATATCGACATTTGTTATGATATATATATATACACACGCACACGTGTATGTATGCATATGTAAATGTGTGTGTATGTATGCGTGTGTGTAGTTTCTCATGTATCTATCTTTTTTAGGATAAACACGGCAGAAAGTTGGATTCGTTTTCCTTTTTTCAGGTTTGAATGAAATACAGTTAATGATCTTTACAACGATTAATAGATCATGATATTAATAGAACGGAGGGCATGATATATAATAATTACCACATGCTTATAAAGCATTCATATGGGGCAACATATATTTGGAATATAAACTTTGTTTCTAAAATTGATTATGATAACCAGTAGCCATTTCATATTCTTTTATCTCGCGTAATCTTAGTTTTAAAGTCATTAAACAATATTAATATTTATTTAATTAACGGCACTTTTAAATATCTTGCCAAAAGCTATATATATATATATATAGCCTGACGGACGTTGATTTTTCTCAAGGCATATATGGAGTTTTGAGTTGCATCGCCTAATTACATAAATTAAATAATTTTACGTGTGATTATTTCATATGAATGAATACGATTGTCATCTCTAATCCGATCATATCCATGACGTTAACACGGAATAATCCTCCAATTCCCCAACATGGCTAAAATAAAATTTGTAAGTACGTGTTTGACCGGTATGGTTAATTAGTCAACGAGTATTTGCAAATGGACAGGAACAAATTGCCACTGGCGTGGTCGAGAACTAAACCGGAGCGGGCTAATTAGTAAGACCCGAACCGGTTGGTACGTAATATGATAATGATTCTCTATTGGGCTGAATAATATGTTACCCAATTTGGCCCATTACTTTCAAAACCCGACCCGTTTGAATAAACACGTGCGCGTCGTGTGTGTATATATGTATGCTGTATATATCGCCCTGTCTCTGTCATTCGCCACTTCTCTCCAAACCCTAACAGAGCGCCAAAAACCTCTCTCTCACTCTCCGGCAAATGCTTCTGCCGGGAAGGTCGTTCATTTCCCATTGACTGAAACAAATCTACTGAAAGTTAGTGGAAGCTCGATCGAGATGGCTTCGGCCTGCGTTAACAACATCGGATTGTCGCCGGAAAAGTTCTCTTCGGTGGGTTACTCCTCCTACGGATGGACGAGTCCTAGAGCATCGTTAGGCCGGGAAGGCGAGAGTTCCTTCTCAGAGGAACAATCTCCGGCGGCGGATTCGCTATCGAACCAAGATCCGGTGGACTTCGAGTTCCGGCTTGAAGATCCGGTGGCAATGCTCTCCGCCGACGAGCTCTTCTCCGACGGGAAGCTCGTCCCTTTGAAATTTCCCGGCACGACGCCGGCGAAACCCCCGACGACGACGACAGAGGCGACGAAATCGTCGGAGATGGTGAAATCGTGCCGGAGACTGGAAATGGAGATCTCCGGCGTCGATCAATACCTCTTCTCTCCCAAAGCGCCTCGTTGCACAACAAGATGGCGTGAGCTTTTAGGCCTCAAGAGGCTCGCGAAGGCACAGGAGTCTTCTTCCTCGTCGTCACTCAAAACGACGCCATTGTCACTGTCGTCATCTTCGACGAACCCTAAAATGACGACATTGTTGTCGTCGTCTTCTCCCAACCCTAAAACGACATCGTTCAAGAATTTCCTTCACCGGAACTCCAAATCTTCCCTTGTCTCGTCGTCTTCCTCCTCCGATTCGTTGTCCCTCAACCATCCGCTGCTGATGAAGGACTCCGACATCTGCGAATCACTGTCGATCTCATCTTCGCGTCTCTCTCTCTCCTCGTCCTCTTCCTCGGGACACGAGCTCGACGAGCTGCCGAGGCTGTCTTTGGACCTTGACAAAAAACCCGGTCCCAACCCGTTCGCTCCGGCACGGAGTATCGGGCGCAGTCCGACACAACCCAGGATGAGACTAGCGAAGCCGCGCCCGTCGACCGATGGTCGGAGTCCAGCAAGACGGCGCCACCAGGCGGCGGAAGAGCAGCCGGGAGAGCAGAGAGGCCTAACGGTGACGGCGGATAGCCCGAGGCTGAATGCATCGGGAAAGCTCGTGTTTCATGGGCTGGAGCGGAGCTCGAGCAGTCCAGGGAGCTTTAATGGCGGACCCAGGATGAAGCACCACCATGGAATGCCTCGGTCGTACTCGGCCAATGTTAGAATCACGCCGGTCCTCAACGTCCCAGTCTGTTCGCTACGTGGGTCATCAAAGTCCGGTCTCTTCGGACAGCTTTTCTCGTCTTCTGCGTCGTCGTCTTCCTCTCCCTCCTCGTCCGTTTCGTCTTCCGTGAACAGAGGCCAGTTGCACAGCAACACCAAGAACCGTACCAATCGACCATGACTCGGACCGGTTAACATTTCCGGTCGGACCGGAATCCCATCAAACCAATTTGAGCAGGTAACGGCTTGGAGTTAAATTTTATCGTTTTTTGAGGCGTATGGCACGGGGTTGGGGGAATCTTTACGCTTTTGTTCTGCTGGGGCCGTTTTGGTAACTGATTTAAGATTTGGGGTTTGAATGTAAATATTGTTAAATCTTCCTGTCTCGGTTTGTCCGCAAGCAATATTATTGTCTCTAACCTTTTTTTTTTTAAAAAAAACAATTGATGAAGTCGTGCATTTTATTTCGTAACACCAAACCGAAGAACCGTTTAATTATTTTTTACGGCAAGATTAATGGTCTGACCAAAAAGTTAGATGTGCTTCCCATGTTCCGAAATCTTTTCCGACTACTAATGTATAGTATATGCTTGAAAAGATTGGATATCCAAAATTTTATAATATACAAATGGGATTATTATATATATATATATAAGTGATCCGGTTTTAAATTACAATACGGTAGACAGAGGGTGCCAGCTTTTGTTTCCTTTGTATTTAACAGTTGTTATCATTAAATTAATGGTTAAGATGTCAGAGAGACGATTCCTACGTCTAGTGTTAATCTTAGACCTATCCACTCACTGTACATTGTTAGCGTATGATATATATTCGGCTAGTGTACGTATTTATTACAACAGTACCGATCTTTTTTTTTAAATATATATATAATATATGGATGAATGGGTGGAAAGGGGCAGGCAGACAGGATGGTCGGTGGACCACATGAAGCCCACCAGAGGATCTCCACATCTTGACAAAACATACGCTCTTATTTTATTATCTCAATAAACAGTAAGCTCGAAATCTTTATACGTGAAAAAAAAACATTTTCTTTTTTTTTTTGGTTAGGGGGTTGGGTGGGTGTTGGCCCGTGAACCAAAACGATGCGTATCAGTACCGCAATGTACAGGCACTTAGGCCACCCTCTTGACACTTGTCCTCCTCACTCCATCCCCGTGGACCGTTGCACACACTATCCTTTACTTCCACTTGTGATTCCAAATGGACCGACTCGAGATGTTGGGTTGTTCGTTTATATATAATCTCTGATCATATTAATAGCGTAAGTTTTGTCAAGATGCCCAAATATACGATATCCCGATTATACGTACACATGTACATATACGAAATTAGGGGGTAAAGGTTAGGGTTAGGGTAACGAGTGTCCAGTATCCGTTACGCGTTATGAGATTTTGTCTGTTCAATATGAAATATATTACAATGTTTGATTCGTACAGTTGCTACGATATTTCCTGATTTTTTTTTTATAAAAAAAAAAGGAGAGAGAGAGAGAGAGCGAAGATAGCGTCAAATTTAAAGTCTGCTCGTGATCCTCGAGTACTGTGTCTTTAATCCCAGCCGTTGGATTCTCCCCCGTTTATTATGATATAACCACACAACCCTTGCATCTATATCCATAATGTGCTGTATACATATATATGTATATATATTCCGAGTATTCGTTATAATCGTGTTTCCAATGCATCCTTTTGATACATGAAAACTATACTATATTAATCAAACCCTCAATTCATGCTGCAGTGAAGATTATTGTTTATAAACTCGAAAAATGTTCGAGTTGGTCCATTTAGAATAATTATCGGATATGTAGATTGATTATTATAAATAATGTACGTTATTGTTATTTATGTGTGTGTATATATATATTTTAGAAGAAAAAAAAATACCGAAAAAAGCAATATCCCGCCATACATACGAAAGAGCCGTTGGATCAACAGTAATAATATACGACCAACCGGAAAATGAAGTGGTAAGGTCGAAATCCATCGTGGACATTAAATAAACCAATTCAATTCAATATGCAAATGTCATAAAATAAAGATTAAGCAGAGTCTGAAATCAATGCAAAATCTCTGACGTGTCTGTTTGACCAGCTTTCTGTATCTCGGGACCCGTATTTTCCTTGTCGTATGTATATGTGTGTGTATATATATATTCCCGTGGTCTCTAATGCAGCCTAATAATAATAATAATAATAATAATAATAAACACATGCAGTGTGCTTATAATACCAACCAAAAGCAAAATGCATAATTGGGACCTCATAGGCTCATACTATGAAATATATGAAAATATATTCTCATAACAATTTTTTTTTTAAATATATAAAAATTGCATTTGCGGGTATTGTTACGGCGAAGACAGCTTATGATCCGTCTAATTAACGTGGTTTATTTAATGCAAATGAAATGCTCGCTGCTTTGGTATTTTAGATATCCGTATACGTATATTCGTCTTTTTATTATAACGTATTTTATTTTTTTATATCAGATATATAAAACTTAAATATTGGCTTTTTTACTGTTTTTGGACCAGTAAAGTATTGTAACGATTGCTGTCAGACGAAATATTTTGCCCAAGGGAGGAAACACATGAGAAGGAATCATATCAGTCCGGGTGCATATATATATATAATATACACACATATTTCGTTTAATTTAAACAAACTGTAACAATATATAATAAGATATGTTCCTTATATAAAAAAAAAGATATGTTAATAAAGGAATGATATATATAATATATGATAACAATAGGGAAATGAATGAGAGAACGTGATGGTTCCCAGTTTTGTGCCCTCTGAAAAGATTCTCTCTGCTCTCTTTTCCCTTTTAATTGTTTTAATTAATTGCGTCTTTTTTTTTTCTCCCTCTCGCCTTCACATATAGATACACATACACATATATATATATATATATATATGTATGTATGTATGTATGAACGTGGGCTCTCGTATATAGACATGAAAAATGACCTAATGATTTTTGCTTATAACAGAGTTCAATATATGCATCAATCAAAGGGGTAAATTCGTTAAATTGAAAACGTAAATATAAATAAATAATCCATATAGTCAATATTAGACCGAGATCGGTGGGGAGGGAGATAATTTATGAATTTATATGATCCATATACAAAGACTATTCACGGATCGAGATTTATCTAGTCAGCGTGCCCGAATGATAGAAATTAGGGGTCATCCATTATAAAAAAAATATATATCAGACCAAGACGGATGTGTATATATATATAATCACCAAATGATAGCAAACAAAAGAGAATGTTTTTATATATATGGTTGCACCAAAAAAAAAAAAACAAAAACAGGTTACTTTTGGGCAAGGGAGGATTAATCACATATTGCATGTTTACATATCATTTATCAAAAAGCAAGTTGTCTGATTGCTGTTTCGCTTCAATGAACCTTAAGCCAACAAACGACGGATAATAGTACAAAGAGGCCAGCAGCAAAAAACCAAGAGGAAAAGCTGATGACTTTTATACCTACGTATGTATGTATGCATGTATGTATGTATATATGGATGCATGCATGTATGTATGTGTGAAAGGGGGAAGAAAAAAGGTTGTCTTGTAGCTGAATGTGAGCTTCATTGATTTGATATTGTTTTTGGTCTTTTGAAAAATGGTTTTGATAAAAACTCGCATAAGATTTGGAAGTGTGTGGTTAAAAAAAAAAAAAAAAAACTCTGCAGCATTTGTCTGTGTCTTGTCCTCTCCTCTCATCTTTGGACCCGTTCTGTACACCTTCGTACTTTCTTGTTCTTGTTCTTATTACCCACCTCTGTCTTTTTCAATCTAAAATCTGTTCAATTTATAGTTTCTGGACTATTATTACCCATTTGCATATTGTTTTGAAAATGTCTATGGATTAATATATATAAATATCCTGAATATGCATACAAATTTACCAAAAATAAATAAATTCAAAGCTGATAATAATGCGTTGGAGGATAAGGAGAAAGGTGGAGGGGGGGGGGACATGGTCTTCGTGATTATTACAAGGAAGAAATAGTTTGGTCAGATTCTGAGAAGACATTACGTCACGTGACTTCTCCTCCCTTGCAAAAATGCTGCCACCTTTTTTTTTTTTTGGTTACAAGTCACGCACAGAGGATCCTTGTCTTTAACCGGAGGGAGGGTCAGTGGAAAAAAAGGGACTATTCTATTTTGGGAAAAAAATACGGGCTTCACCCACCGTACGAAGACGAATAATACACCGTATTATACGTACATCGAAAGTATGAAATTCATGCCAGATACGTACACAGGGCCCGTATAGCCCCTCCTGCACGGCCCTATGTGGCGTGGGATTAAGAATAAAAAAACATTTTAAATGAACTGGGCTCTTCCCATTTTAAATGTTACGGCCTTTTTATAATGGACTTATATGGTAAGCCCATGAGCGTGTGTGTATCGTTTAAGATTCCTAAATTATATATGAAATTAAAAATATTTACATTATGAAATGACCGATATATTTTTTTTCTTTTGGTCTGTATTGTTCATGCAAGACAAGAGACCAATAACTTAAATTTTATTATTAAACAACACAATAATCAAAGCAGCAAAAAGACTTGGGGAATATCAGAGTTTTGAGATTGAAGAACGGACAGATCAATAAAAGATTTGAGAATTAAATTTTTGAACTTTCGAAAGAAACCAGTAGAGTTTTGATCTTTTCGCCTTCTTGAGCTTATTTTTCGTGGGGATTATTTGTCTCCCAAAGGAGACATCCGTACAGGTATAGGCTTTCTCTGAAATCTCGAATCGTGTTTTCCTTGTGCGGATTCGCTTTGTGGGTTCTCTTCGATTCACTTCTAGGGTTTCTGTGTTAGTTCTTCGGCATAATGTAGCTTCAAAAGTTCCCATTTTTTTCCTGCGTAGATAGATAGGGTTCTGCCTCCGATTTCATTTCCGTGGCAATTGAATTCGTGACCTGTTCTTTCAAAATTCTGTTTCTGCGAGTCTGATGTTAAGTTCCCTTCCGCAATTTGATCTGATTATCGACATCAAGCAAGGAATTTTCCTCGATTCTTCGTGATTGATTTTGCTTATTGTGGATATATATGCAGAAACTGCGGAGACCCGGTAACGATTGCTATTGATCGTCGGACCTTATCTGAGTTCATAAACACTTGTGTTTCAGAAACAAGCATCGTGGCTTAAGGCCGTTTTGCTTCTGGAGAGAACCTTTTCGGATCCAATATATTGTTTCATGGCAGGAAATGGCCTGCCAACACTGGGTCGTGTCAAGCTCAGTGATCTAGCTCCCTCTGAAGGTCTTCCTCCTGATTCTTACAAGTTAGCTGTCACGACGTTATCGCAGTCCTTGGCCCAATACTCTGCTGCGGTTATTCAGTTTCCTGCCGGCGACGGGGCGCTCTTGAGATCCAGTCTGGATTCTGCCCGGCTCTACTTTCACCAGAGAGATTCATATCCTGCCTCCGATATGATCCACTCGAATGATTCGCGTGAGTGGTGCAAGACGTCTGGTTACTATGCAGATCCTCAGTTGTGGCAGGAGAATTATGACTACAGACCTGGTTTGACCCCCACTGAGCCCAATAACTCGCTGGAGTTCCCTCCGGCGGGTTTGCCCGATACATTTGCTCTACTTGGAAAGGCGGCTCGGCTAGTTCTTGATGCCATTGGCTTCTATTTGAACCTGAGAAGCTGCCCGTTTTCCGAGATTCTTGATAACATTCCCTTGAGGAACCGTGAGATTTCGTCCTCTGTGTTGTCAGTGTGCTGTTATGCAAGACCGTCGTTCCACGGAGCACAGCACCATAACATATCGGAGGACGGTCAGCTTATCATGTACCCTGACCATGACCACCAAGTAGACAAGAGTCTAATATCGGTTATGAAGTCGGATAAGGCTGGGATGCACGTGAGGGACATGCATGGCCGATGGGTTCTAGTGGATGCGGATCTCGGCCCTCAAGAGGCCGTCGTGTACCCGGGGCTTGCTGTTTACCAGGCTACAGCAGGATACGTAAATCCTGCCCTTCACAGGACAGAAATAAACAATATGCAAGGGAATATATACGGGCGATGCTCCTTGGCCTTCAAACTCATGCCTAAGTCCATGACCAGTCTCAGTTGCTCGGAGATGAGAGCAGCTGGCCATGGAGTTGAAGCTCAATTCCAGCTCCCGGTTTCAGTTGACGATTTCATGCAGAGATCACACTCCAACGACGAAATCTTCAACAGACAGAGTTTGCAGAGTTACAGTGTTCCTCAATCCCAGGATGGTAAACACCATGTCTTTTTTTTTTTTTCCCCTCAAGTCTTATGCTTGTAAGCTTTACTGGGTGACTGGTGCTGATCATTAACGGCAGGTCCTTGGATCGATGAAATGCTGGTACAGGATCTATGAAGCAACTGGCGAAGCGGAGAAAAAGTGATTCAAGAAGCAAACCTCTACCGCCTTCAAAGCGGCTTCGGTTAGAGGCCCAGAGAGTTCTCAAGGAACGAGTTCAGGAGATTGCGGATAAGAAAGGGATCAAACTCCGATTCTGCAGCCTGAAAGACTGCGAGAATCATCATCATGCACTGGACAGCCCTTGTGCCAGTATAAGAATGGAGATGGGCTGGCCACATGGCGTGCCGTTCGTTCATCCTCACGACCTTCCCAACAAAGCTAAAATCGGATTTCTTGAAGCCTATGAGCCCGGATGGACCGCCACCCATGACATGGAGCTGAGCTTGACCGAAACCACGCAGGGCAACCAACACATGACCAGCTGTAACCATTCTTCGCCCGACAAACTCGTTTTTTTTCCCTTCCGGGTTTTCTCCTTACCCTTGGCTGTCACGGGGTGCCCAGACCTTTCTTTGATTTTTCTTCTTTCTTTCTTTCCCTTTGCAGGAGACATATTCAGTTCTTTCTCTGATGATTCAGCAAACAAGACAGTAACTTGAGACACTGGTTCATCTTCTGTTCTTTACTGTTCTGTAACCATCCAGGTCAGTTCCCAGTGTCAGTGATTTGGTCTGCGTGTAAAACGAGATGATGGAAGTTTCTTACTCTGTCTCATTATATTGTATGCTAAGATGCAAACCACAACTTGTCCATAATTAAGACAGAATATATTATTAAGATTAGATGTGTCTTATTTTATTGATTATGTAAATTCAAACAGGGGCGTGTGTGTGTATATATATAGTGGCCATTTCGAGTTTTGGTTTGGTTAATTTGAATTCAGATCATTTGGTTATCGAGAAATCATAATCGAACATATATATAAATTTGATTTGGTTCAGTTTTAGAGTGGTTTGATTTGGTTATGAACAAAGTAATGTTCTCATTTTGTTTTGTTAAACGTGGTTACTCGATTATTAACGAAAGCGAAAAAGAACGGTTATTCCGTTTTCTTAACCGATCAATAATTTTATAAATATCTAAGCCAAACCGAACCAAAACACTTGATTTGCATGTGTGAAATCAAATCACAAGAAGAAGAAGAGCTCATGTTTTGGGGTGAAGGTAGAAATGCTCTCTCCAAAATGCTCAGACAGAGAGGCCGGGAGGTGTCGGCCTACCTCAGTGTACTCTTTCCGAGTACTGTCCCTTCCAGACATGTTTCCAGTTGGTACCTGTTGAGGATTCTGCATCTGCATTTGCATCTGCATTTGCTTCACACCCATTGTACCATCCGAAGCTATCTTCTTCAGCGGCGGTTGTTGTGTTAAGTTGTCTCTACTTGCTTTCTGTTTACCTTTGACCACCACCGATGACAATAAATTTCACCAGCTTTAATACCGAATGTTAGTTGGATTTTAGAAAAACAAAAGAATGGTAGAGGTCTGTACTTTGCCTTGAATTCCCGAGTTTACTGTCCTGCCCCTTCCAGACACCTCGGGTTGGAGGAGACACCAACTCGGGTAACGCTTTAACCCGTTCGTACATGCACCCGCCTGCAGCAACCTGTTTACATTTGCATTCTGTCAGTTCTGTTGAATGAATGCCAAGAGTTGCTCGATTTTTGATCCAACTAAAGAAACACCACTCACCATCAATGCACCATACACGAACCAAGCTTCACGCCTCTTCTCTTGATCCTTTTGCCTCTCGAGCGACATTGCAGGTGTAAGATATTGCAAGTACAGCTCAAGGTTTGGGAGTATAACTAGTCCCACCTACTCGGTTGGTAAAGACCAGAAAGATAATGGAAATCCAAAGAATGAGTCTTCTGAGAATAATATAAGATTCTTTGAAGCCACTATATGACCTAAGACTCCCGAATGTAAGTTTCAGTAACTCCACTTATGATGTCAGTTCTAGATTTTAATGTTTTAGGGTAGTGCTTTCTTACGGAAAACTCATAACCTTAACGTTACCATTCCTAATGAATGTTAGGCATCACTGAGCAAATACCACGTTAGGTCCAAGGCCTGCCAGCCCTTGAATTGCCCCATAGTGCTGTGGTAGCGACTTTGTTGGGTCCAAAAATGCATGAAGCAGTGTCCTAATCACACGTGGCTGCAAATCATGATAAACATGTCCAAACCTGCCCAGAGGTCAAGTGGTATGAGTAACAAAGAATCTACAGGAGATGTCATGTATTGGATTTCCACTCATAGAATATACAGATGATGCTCCGCCAGTTTGTTGGACTCTTGATCTTTAAAGTGGGGTAACACTAAGCGTGTACATCTTCCATGGATGAAAAACGTTATTTGGCACTCAACATAGACATATACAAAAACAGAACTGAGTAACCACCTCTACGACAGCATTTGTAATTTCTACAACGCACATCAAAACACACAAGAACAACAAAGTAGATTCGCGTATTACCTTTTGCATATTAGTGCAAGAGTATTGGCTGTGAAGTTTCTGAGGTCCCAGTGATTGTCGGATAACCTGCTCCCCAAGTGCTTGGCAATAAGGCAAGTAATGATAGACGGCATCAATTGATGCAGCTAATGAGGAAAAAGGCAATGTATTAGGTCAACAGGAGAAGGGATTGAATGTTGCAAACTTGCAATACCTGAGAAAGGTGCTCTCGGAGCCAAAGATATGCACTATATTATCACAAAACTTACATATGGTTCTATATGTACATGAGGATTCTGAAGGAGGCTTCTAGCAACGCGCATCAAAGCCAACAGAACTGGACCGTTATCCATGTTCCTTGTGATCTAAAGCCATTTTAAGCACCACTTTAGACGGAATTTGCTAGAAGAAGTGTAGTCCAGATAAATCCCAAGCACTGAAATGCTTATCTATAATCTTTCAACTACCTCCTCAGCTATGAAGCAAGTGAAGTAAGGGACCAAAGGGTGGAGTCCGGAGTCGGTTCCCAAGCTGCTGACTGCTTGCCTGAAGAGGTTGGAGCCAGATCTAGTGAGAGTCCACTCAGTGATTTTTTCAAAGTAAAGCTGCATCGAGTAATATGAAAGTTCGATTAAATGTGCCCGAGAGAGGAGAACTTAAGAGAGAAGAAGTAGTAAATAGAATTATAGAGATTAGATAACCTGAAGCTCTCTAGAGAGCACATGCCTAACAGGTAGCCCATCATCCTTATACTCTATCCGTTTTCCATCAGAGGTTGCTACAGATTCATAGAAATAAGATAGAAGAAAAAAGAAGCCTGGGTGACTGAATAACAAACGCAAATTCCTCCAGGGAAACAATACACCATAGCAAAGGCATTAGTGGTGTCGTCAAGGAGATACCTTCGGGGGAAGAATTTTGGGGAATCGAAGGTTGAATGCCTTCAACAGCGAGCCAATGAACGTTAATAGAAGTATCGGGAGGTGCATTCGGTAGAGGAGCTTCAATGACCTGTAACAAGACGAAGTCTAATGCGTTAATGAGCAGAAAGGAAGGGCTAACACAATGAACCCTAATCCATGTTTCTTACATGTTTGAATTCCACATCCTTGTCATCGATGTAGAACAAATCACTATGATCCGGAGCTCTCTTGAACTTGACACTATTCGATGAGCCACAAGTTGGCTGAGTACAGGAAGAAGAGGCTATGGTAAGAATCACGGCAAACAAAGCTCGGTGTGACAAATCGGACTAGACCAAGCACATAAATAGAAGCAGACCTCCAGATTCCGAAAACGAAGAGCATAATCGACATCATCGGCCATCAAAATGGTCCGGCGAGCATGGCGCATGCACTTAATAGCTTCCTGAAAGCGAGAAATTAACTGACGGAAGAGAGGAAACCGCCATTGCCCCGGCAAAGAAGAAATTGAGAAGAAAAGGAAATACCTGCATGACCTCACGGACGCGATATTCGACATCGGGAGCAAGGGCGACGGAGACATCCGGCGAAAGATTGGAGATTCCGATGCTCTGAGCGATCACTTCAATGGCTTCCTTCGTCACGCGCGCTTCCATAATTCCCGGCGAGGCAAAGTCGAGTACAACAGAAGCCGGTTTGACTTAAAAAAAAACGCCTTATTGGTAGTTTAATCTTAACGGGCCGACTATGGCCCATATCTCTTCCTTCTCTCTCATCCATGATCACCAAACCAGGGTTGTCAATCCGGCCGGCCCAAACTATTTTGAGCCTGTTAAACCAAATCCGAAGTCCGGAGTTCGGGTTCGGGTTGAACTCGGATCGGGTCGGGTCCGCACGCTTAATATATATACAATAAATATTAGATTTTTAAGTGTTTTTGAATTTATTCATTTTTTTAAAAAAAAATTAGATTTTCGAGTCGGTACGAATTTCGTCGGGCTTAGTCGGATAAAACCCGAACCCAAAATCTTATATTTTTTGGATGAATTTGGGCTCGGTTTCGAATTTCGGATCTAAATTGACACCCTATCAAACACGATAATGGAAAAAGTGTTAATGTCGGAATGTCGTGTTTTATAGGAACTTGAAGATTATAAAATGAAACTCACATACCCCTTGCAGATTGAGAAATGAAGCGTAAATCTTGAAAGATGATTGTGAAAACAAACGAGAGAATTGTTTGATTTCATTTTTAGATCGGTAATATATACACACTAAAAAAATATCGTTAATTGCTCGAGGTTCACGTAAAAATATCATTAGTCGGCACAAGAAGAATGGCTTCAAGAACTGGACGCTCTCCGACAGTGATGGAAGACTTCCCCCCCTCTGTCCGAATCTTTTTCTTCCGGCTCTTACGCACTCAGGCTTCTGATTCTACACCAGTAACCGGATTTCACATCTCATTGCTTCATTGTCGTATACGAAGAGGAATCCTCGTGTCTGATGTCCTTGGTTCGCCAGTTGCGTTCTTCGCTTTTCGAATCTGCAGTTAATATCTGCAACATCTTGTTGTGATACTTGGTTAAAGTTCGGCGATGGCCGATGCTTACATACGTAATGCCAGCCGCTTCGATTTGTTGATACAGATGCGCCTGCGGATCAAATAACAGCAACGGGTTTTAAGGATCAACCGAAAAATATTACAGAAAAAACCCGAGAAAATTTACTATGAATATACCTCGTTAGCTTCATCTAGAGCGCTTGTAGATTCGTCAAGAAGAACCAACTTTGGCTCAGACAGCAACAACCGCGCAAAGGCTAGACGCTGCTGCTCGCCGAGAGAAAGAACGCTCGACCACTCATGCAACGAATCCAGCCCACCAAACCGATCCACTACACCTCCAAGACGGACATTCTCTAGAGCACGTATCAGATCATCTGTTGTCGGCTTATTACCAGACTTTCCGGCATATGAGTCAGAGTCGGGAACTCTTGTCAGGAAAGGCAGCTCCTCCTTGTCGCCTCTTTCGCCTCCATCCGATGAATCAGATTCATTAGTCCATGTGGGATAAAGCAGCTGTTGCCTCAGAGTTCCCAGAACCATATAAGGCCTCTGTGGAACGAACAACACGTCCCCAGAACTTCTTCTGTTCCCCGACTTTTCCTCAACACTGCCTTCTCCTCCTCCTCCTCCTTCACCGACTGGATTAACGTAGAACGTGATTTTTCCTTTTCCAGAACTCCAAAGCCCAGCCATGGCTCTCAGCAGTGATGTTTTGCCGCTCCCACTTGGTCCCATAATCTGTTGAAAAGGCAGCATTTATATGTAAAGTCGGTATGTTTTCTTCCAGCTTCTCCGCCACAAAAATGGAAAATAAAGTACTGAATGTGAACTAACCAGCAGATGGTCCCTGTCATATAGTTCGAAGGATAGATCACGGACCAATGTTGCTCCACTGGTCGGTGTCTGCAGAGTGAGGTTTTCAATTTCCAGAACCTTTTGACTCTGCCGAGATTGAACCGAACCGTTAGAATCCAGAAAGGATGACGACCTTTCCGGACTCTGATACATCAGCTTAATCTCTTCCATGGAGCGGGTGCCACCTCTGGAGCCGCCGTTTTCCAGGAGATCATCGAATTCACCTGCGTAGTAAAAAAGAGTTGAACTGTTAAAGCCTGTAAGTGGAGTTCGGACAAAGGCAAATGTAACATTTCATTACAGAAACTACATTTCAGAGCAAAGTATTCAGTGTTGTGTTGTATATAAAGCATCAGTTTTGTCTATTTCAGCTGACTTCTGGTCGAGTGTCAGTTGTTCCAATCATCAAAGTAGATCCAGCCAGTGGTTAATCGCAACTGCTGATCGGTTATAATCGTCGCCTGTGCTCCTGTTTAGCATGCGATCTCCATGAAAGTAGTTCTATATAACCTTAAGAGACTGTCATCAAATGCGTAAGGAGTCTACCTAGTCGATCAATGACAGCTGAAAATGCGCTGATAGCTTGAAACTGATAAACAACGAGCGAGAAGTCTCCTAATATATGATTGAAAGCGGACACCGACTGGTTAATGACACCAAACTCGATTTTCCCGGAGAAGTACATCGGGGCAACGACAGCAGCTGGAAGAATCTGAATGAGATAGCGGTACCCGTCTGTGAAAAACTCTAGGTTTCTAGATGCTACCAGCAATTCCTGCCAGTGAAACAAAAAAGAAATCCCGGGGATCAGATAGTTGTGAGAATCACAGGATGAGAATTGTGAGCTGCAAAGTAATTTTTACCGATAGATTTTCAAAAGCGCTTCTAAAACGCTGCAGCAGAAGCTGCATTTCATTCTGTTCCCCCCCGTAGAAAGCAATCGATTCGGCGTTTTCCCTCACACGTACAAGACTGTACCGGAAATCAGCTTCTTTCTTCTCTTGTAGAAAGTTGAGATTCACCAGTCCCTAAACTCAGGAGGAAAGAAACGCTAATAAGCTCATGCCACCATTGTGAGCAAATGTTGTGAAATATCAAAAATAGCAACCGGAGATTTCACCTTTCCCAGAAAGACACTGATAGCTGTTCCACCGAACGAGTAGACCAAGAGAACCACAAACAATGGGGGGTAAATGCCGAACAAGATGTTGCTGAAAGATATCAAGTCCACAGCGGCGTTGAAAAGCGTCAGGGAGAAAGATAAGGCTGTCCCGGTGAAGGAGCTGAGATCGTCGACTATACGCTGATCCGGGTTATCGATTATAGACTGGGACTGGATCTTGTAGAAGGTTTGATCTTTCAGATAGCGTTCCATGTAGTATTTGGTCATCCATGATCTCCATCTGAGAGATAAAGTGTCTTTCGCGTAATCTCTCAGCACAAAAAACTGCAAATGTCAGGACAAGATCAAACCAACGCTTATCTTCTGTAAGAGCATTATCATTCAGAAGAACATCTCACTGTCACAGAAAGAAGAACAGACCTACGGAATGGGTTGAGATTGTTTTCAAAGACACTGCATTTCTAAGCGCAAACAGACACTGGAACGTGAAGAAATGGAAATGAAAAGGTTTCTCTACGTATGAGCTGGGAATACCTAAGACAAACGGGTTGTAAGCTCACCGGAATTCCGCCAGCGAATCCACACAGGTAATACAGCAGCTGCTTCATGAACTGTTCTTGGTCTTTGTCTTTTTGCACAGAAGAAGGAACACGGAATAAACAGCAGAACCCAGAAAGGAAACCGCAAAAAGCGAGTGAATTTCGAAGAAACGTACTAGCGAGGGCATTGTAGAAATCACGGCCGAGGAAATTGAAGCCGACGCTGATGCCGGTGGTGCCGAGGGTAAGGGCGAAGACGGCGGCAAGACGGAGCCTGGCCTGAGCTTTGTCGTCGGAAGACCAGTAAGGCGCCGCGACTTTCCAGAACCTCTTCCACACGCTCTGCCACTGCGTCGTCTTGTCCGAAGAAGAAGATGAAGAAGAAGAAGAAGAAGAAGAGGACGAAACGCACCTGAAGCGGGGGAGAGAGAGATTGCGGGAACGACTCTTCCAACCGGCGGATTCTGCGCCTACGGTTGATCCGTTGCGAAGAGAAAAATGGCGATGGTGAAGATGGAAAGGGAAAGAATGATGGCTGGGAACTTGAGAAGTGGTGCTAAACATGGAAGATGGATGTACCACCACCATCATCTTCTTCTTCTTCCTCCTCCTCCTCTAAACCCGACACGATGTCAAGGCCGAGGAAACTAAAAATTGCGAGGTGGATTCTCACACTTCGCTACCCCACAACCGCTCATTTCTTCATCTTTTTTCCTCCGCCACGCATATATTATACAAAGATTACAAGAAAAATAGACACGACCTTACCTTTGCCTACAAAATATAATGTGATTTTTATAGAGTATTAACATTTCAGATTCGACGTTTTGATGTTAAGCGGGGAAAAAATGTACACGGATGGGTATGTAAATATAACTGGCAAAGATTTTCAGACAACAGAAACGCAGTTGGAACAGAGAACTTTGGTGAAATGAACAAAGTGCCACTCATCTCACACCAGAAGCGGAAGCTGATGACACACACACACAAAGATCCAACCTTTGCTCACTGGTAATGCTTTCTGCGTCAAGAAAACACGTATGCCAAAAAAAAGATCGTAGCTTTACAACCGGACTAAGTCAATCATGAGCAGTTTTTACATTTGGGCAAAGATGGATGAGGGAAATTCGCTACAAGATAGCAGAGACAGCCAAGCTGACAAAGAAACCTAGCAAGGCACCAGCTACAACCTCAACTTCTGTGTGCCCAATTGACTCTTTCAGTAGGGGAGAGGACGGATCGTCTTTGTCCATCTCATCCAATGTCTGAACCTGGGCAGCCATAGACTTTCTCCTGCTCTTAACCATCGTCGTCCTCATCTGTGAGTCAACCTTTGCATCGAATGGCAGTTTGTTCAGCACTCTCGCATGGTTTCCCACTTCTCTCCTCACCCCCTGCAAGCGCCAACAAGAACTCTCCATGATTTAAGATGCTGCAGAACTTGTATATGCAAAAATAAAATCTATCCTTTTTAACAACAGCAGATATGAACTAGAATATAGAGAGGGAGATTAGAACTTCAGATATCACATAACAAGCAAAAGGATCAAATGCAACGGATTCAGATGAAGAAGCCGCAGAAATATGGGATAGTAATGATGGGAAGAGGTACCTGTGCATCATACATGGTAAGGCCAGCATAAACGACGGTAATGCCAAAAATGGAATCAGCAAAACCCCTGCAGCCAAACCATATCAACGGAATTTCATAACTTGGGGTGGATTTGGAAGAGAGAGCATTGAGAGATCTAAGTAAGTACCTCTCAAGAGCAAGCGCAGTAGCCGCAGCCACAACGGACTAAATGCCCATGAATCAACCAAAAAAGGGTCAGGAACACAGAAATCGGCGAGAGAGAGAGAGAAGTGGCAAAGGGGGGGAATATAGAGGCGTTACAGAGGAATGCGTTGAAGGGAAGCCTCCGGCCTGAAAAGCAGTTCTAAAGTCCAGATCTTTCCCATAGAAAAACACAGAAGTGAACGGCTTTGAGAGCTGCCCTACCGCCGCCGATACCCCAGCAGCTATAATTACCTTTTTTTTTCGCAAACGGAAATTAAGACGGTGTTCGGTGACATGTTCGACCGCAGAACCAGAAAGGGATTAAAAAGAACGAACCTTGTTGTTGATGATTTCAACGACATCTTCGAACCCAACTTTCAGAATGCAAGTAAGACGGCCGCCTGGCTTTCTGGGGTATCTCGCCGGATTGAATCTTGGGGTATTCCTTCTGGGATTCGACTTGGAGGAGTTCAGATAGAGGAGCTGAGAAGAAGAAGAAGAAGAAGGAGACCATTGCTTCAACATCCTCTCAAGAATGGCCTTTCAGTCTATCTTTGCGGACAGAATAACCGATAAGACTTTTAGGAAAACCGTGGCCGATTATCCATTGTCCAAATACCTCACACCGCCTCTTCTGTATTCAGACACAGATCGACATGAATGGGAACAATATACAGATACGGATACAATACCATAAGAGACTTCACTTACTCTCTAGGGGTGCATAAGGGTTGGTTCGGCCTGGATCGGCCCGGCCCAACTCGGTCTGAACCAACCCAGCTGATTTGTGGGCCAGTCTCGTTTTTTCAAGCATTGAAAGTCAAATATGACATTGAAAGTCAAGGACGCCGAGTAATCTTAACTTCGACATCCCTCTTTTTAGAATTATATATTTTTTTCGTAATATTGTATTTTGAATCGAAGTTCAGATTAATCTAGATGTTAGAAGCAAATTATGTGATTAGAATTATATTTTTTTCTCCAATTTAAGACTCAAACCCATGATAGAATAGAACTTTACATCACTATTTCACCGTTTGAATTATCTCATTTGTATAATTTAGTAATCTAAGGAAAGAAACCGAATTTATTTTGCAACATGATGGCGCATCGCATACGTACATATATATGTAAATACATAAATATTATAGTTAAACTTTAGAGCGCGATGAAATTCATTGTGATTGTGAGGTCTAAGAAATAACGAGCGTTTGATTTGTGATGATATTTATATTTTTTTTTTTGGTAAAGGGATATTTATATTATACTATATACTCTTAAGAATATATCTTTAATGCTAATCAATCATGTTTGGTTTTGGAATTGATTGCTTAGCGAGGCGACAAAGTATCCCGATGTACAACATGTTCTGTAAGATCTTATATTCACCCAGGAGCGACAAAATCTAGATGTTAAAACTTGTAAAATAATTATTAAATACGAATGAAAAATCGATTATATATTAAGCTGCGGCGTCTAATTATTAATTTACCAGACGAAGAAAAAAGCCGTGGCGTATTCATTAAATCGAAATTATCGACCGAGAATATTTACCAGACATCGCACAAAACGTTTCTCCTGTTTTGTTTCTCGGATATGCTTATGATCAATTACTAATTTATCCTTGGCGTGTCGGACAATAAATCAGTAATCAAATCATAATTTATTAATGATTATGATCATATTCGGATATTACTCCATATATATATATATATATTTATCACAATAATCTCTATGGTTATTGACTTGAGCAGAAATTATCGTTATTTAATATTTTATTTGTTCCTCATTATATACTAATCGGCGAGAAGACCCGTGATTGGAACATTTTTCTTAATAAAAATTCCTATACATTACATGTCTAATTATAAATTCATCCCGTAAATCTGTTCAAACGTCTCGCGGTGATTATAGAAATCGGCAAATACCGCCACGTAAGTTCAAGATGCATTAATTATAATTAATTTACGACTATTAAATTGCGTATGTAAATGTAAACACAACTATATATATATATATATATATATATATGAAATATCTTGTAATATATGCATGTTACCCAGCAGGTGTAGAGGCCGTCAAAGAAGTCTTGGGTTTGTTAAAATTGTGTTTGAAATATTCCCACGATAGCGCGTCCATCGCTTTTCTGATTTCGACCGGTTGATTATATATTTTTTTTACGCTGTAACATCTTATCATCCAACTCGATTTCGGTGACGCCTATCATATATATATATATACGAATTTCTTATATTTTCTTAGTAAAATTTGTATATTATTTCTGATATTTTTTTAATAAACTTTAAATATTATTGATAATTGAATGAATTTAAATGTACAACATAGTTTTCCATTATAATATGATAAGCAATAGATAAATTAAAATCAAACAAATTCGAGTATATCTCTAACAATGCCCGAAAATAAAAAATACAATAAAGTTTTGACATTTGTACCGTATAGGGCTAATTAGTATAAATACACACACACACACACAGAGAGAGACTCATACAAAATAGAAAAAAATACAAATCTTAATCGAAAGAAGAGGAGTGCAAGCCGTGGAGGAAAAGAGTACACGCATCAGCCCGTGCTTTAACTTATAGCTCAAGCATTAGCATTGTCACCTTTTTTTTTATAAAAAAAAAAATTATTTTCAATATTATTTCTAACCAGCTTCTAACACGAAACACGTTTTTCTCCGTTTCCATCCATATTTTATTCTCTTTGAAACCTAACCATTTATCAAACTTATTTCATTCGGACATATATATTTTTTTTTGTTAAGCCAATGAATTTTTCCTGCAATATATAATGTTCACAGATAATTCAAAACCAAGATGTGGTTACAGTTCATTTTGTGTTTTTTGTTGTATAAAATTTCACATTAAAAAAAAAAAGAGAATATCCCAAAAAACATTTGAATTTGTCAATTTTCACAAAACAAAACTTAAATTTTATTTTGTTATCAAATAAAACCTAATTTTATTTTTTAATCGAAAATAAACTCAAATTTTATAATCATTATCATTTTTAAACCTAAATAATAATATGATATATCGATATCATATTATATATGTGACAGATCAATACTTTGATCATATTATAAGGTTTATATTTATTTATATCTCAAAAATCAAGTCGATATTTTATCTGATAAAAAAATAAAATTCAATTTTTATTTTGTAAAAATGTATTAATTCAAATATTATTTTTAGATTTTCACTTAATATATATATATATATATATATATATTGGTGGATCTACTTGATATGGTGTGGGGATACAGGCCCCATAATCAATTAAAAAAAATACCAATTTTACTTATAAATTTGATAAGATTGTAGAAAAAAATGTTAAATGCCTCAATTAAAATAAAAATTGTTTAGGTAAAATCATATGTAAAAAATTATTGCCCCCTTTCATCACTTTCTCTAGGTCCATCACTATATATATATATATATTCTAGTGTTTATCGACGGGAGTGGGAGAAGTTTAAAAAAAATTACCATAAGAATCTTGTGAATTTTGAGGAGAGAAATGGACTGTCTTGCTGTGTTTCTGTTTATAGTGTGTGTATGTAAAGATTTTGTTAAAATTCCCGGAAAAAAAAAAAGAGGAAAGATTTTGTTAAAATTAATAATAAGACAAAATATTAACTCAATGATTTATGGAAGAATCCGCCATTTCTGCAGACAACCACTAGCATGGTGACAGCTGTACACGTATACATCCATGATCGATCCACGACCCTTGTGACTTTGACTCTGATATTTATAGATTTGGTGATGTTTCCATAATTTAATAATTATCTCGCTATCAACTTAATAAATCTGGAAATTCCTATTTATGTTTCTCTTAATTACCCATCTTTTTTTTTATGATTTAGCTTTGTGTTTCCATATTGAAATATCTATCAAAATTCAAACACAAATCAAATCAACGGTCATTAGTGAACCTCTCCATGACGAAGTATTCGATTGTGACATATTATAATTCACGGAACTTATATGCTATTTACCACGTCATTTTTTATGGATAATGCCAGCTATTTCGTGAAAAAAAATATATAGTAGTATCAAATATGCACCCGAATTGAACAAGACATAATAAAAAATATCATTCTTTTACTATTTTAACTTCAAGATAAATTTTTTTTCATTTGTAATCTTATAATGATTGTGATGAGGATTATAGTTTGATCATATATGTTGGTTATGATGATCATATTAATTCATTATGTTTATCTCTTGTATATCTTACTAATTATTTGATAAAAATATTATAAATTTTACGTTATAATCATTATAATCAATATGTGACCAACAACATGTGACCAATATATTATTATTGGCCAATTGAATTTCTCTGCAAGAATATTTTTTTTCCCTCCAATAGTCAAAATTCGCCACTAATTTAGAAAATTGATGACGAAATTTCCTGTAATTTAGAAGCAATATCCGTTGCAGAGCGAAGTCACGGAAAATATTGTCGCCTTTAGTTAATTGGTTGATTGGCGATGACAGCAGAGGATTTGGCGCTATATCGTAATGTATATATAATGTAATTTATATATAGGTCAATGTGATTTAATTATACGTAGCATTTCGGTGGTAGATTTCTCAAATTATATTTATTATATATATGTATATATAGTGGAATAAAAATACGAAAAAAGAGGGGAGGGAGTTACGCACCACGACGACACATGATATTATATATGGAACAAATTATATGAAAAATCAAGGCGACACTCTCTCTCTACATACATATATATATAGAGAGAGAGAGAGAGAGACAGGGACCAAAACGGACAAAGAAGAAGGAGAAGAAGAAGATAATGATGAGGAGGGAAGCGCTTTTGATGGATGTGATCCTAATCTTCGCCACCGTCGCGGCATTATTGTCGGTAAGCGAGGTCTCCGCCGCAGAAGAGACGGCGGTCCGCCTCCCACTATATCGCCGGCGATCGGGGGGCTT